AATGCTCCAGATTAGAGACTGAATAAACATGACAACTGAAACACCACCATGCCTGAGACTGGGTTCTCTTCTGAAAATCCTACAAAGAAAATTACTTCATCAAATGAGAAAAGTGGAGTATGAGTAGCAGGTGAAATTACTGTAACAATATTAAGTCTATGAAAGTCAGTAAGCATATGAAAATATCCTCACCCTAAGGATCTAGAGACCAAATGGTTGTGTGTGTCACATGTATATGCATAAAACTCTTACAGCAAGAGTTTTTTACAAGTAAAAAAGTAGGATTTTCTACACAGGAGCTTGAAAGTTAATGCAAAGGTCACAAAAATCTTACGGAATGGGCATCGTTTTTCAACTCAACAAATACTTTAACATTGAGGAGGTGAACAAAATCTGAATAGATACTACATAATTAGATGGCTTCACAACTGTCCAGGAGGAACAGCTCTTTCTCACCTCCTTCTCTTGGCAGTCTCCACTATAAAACTTGGAACGCTAAGTACCTTGCCAGCTTCCCTTGCAGCTACGGGGCCATGTGATCTGGCTGTGGCCAATGAGACAGAAGACAGTATATTCTGAGGGCTTCTGGGAAAGTTCTTACTTTCCTGATGAAAAGCAAGAGGAGAGAAGTCTTAGTCTATCCTACCTCCCATCTCCTTCTTCTTCCATCTACTGTGATTGAGACTCCTGGAGCTTGTAACACAAGCTTGAAGACACCAAGCAAAACAGAGTCAAGTGAAAGTAAAGAAAAAAGCCTAGATCTTTCTTGACGTCATCAAGCAACTGAACCAATTCCAGCAAATGCTTACTGCTATACTTCTGATTATGTGAGAGAAACATAATATTTGTTTAAGCCACTGAGAGTCAGGTGGCTGCTGCTTACACCTGCACACATTACTGATGCCTGCTTATTCAGGAAATGGGGAAAAGGCAGAAGAAATCAAAACAGAGTAAGAATCAGGCCGTGCAGTGCCATACAGATGAAGCAACTCCAAAACTAAATGTCTATTTAAAACCTGAACTAAATGCATGCTTACATTATTAAACAATGCCAAAGGTGCAAGAATTTTCATTAACAAAAGTTAAAATAAAGAACTCCTACAACAGTAAGCATTCAACAGTGATTTAAGACCTGAAAAGGTCAAGACAGTCTCTAATCAGATGGGTTTCAATGAAAACATCATTTCTGGGTGTTCTGCCAAGAGCATACATTATTGCCAAACTCCTAATTCCAAATCATATATAAGAATGTGTTAGCTGAAACACAGAAGTTAAAAATAAGACAGTTAAATAGTAATCTCCCTTCTCTCTCAAAGATAAATGTGCCCATTAGCCCTGGATGGTAACAGGAAGATTTCTTTCTCTTACATTCTACATGACTTTTTTTTTCCATTCATGAGCAAGTCAGCATTAAAAAGAATAATAATTTAAGAAGTTGGCTCCTGATCAGCTACTTCACTGAGTTAAAGTGCAATCAGTTTCACACTTACAATTGGAAATATTAAAAATGGGTAAAACTCCTTTGCTCCTATGCAAATGCGTGGATGAGAGGCAGCTGGTACAGTGCACCACATGTGGAGTTCACCTCCTTGCTAAAGCAGATCCTTCACAGCACAGAATTTGTGGCGTTTTACCACCTAGTTAGAGCAGGAAGAGATCAATGTGAAAAGTGAAATGAAATGTTTCAATAACATTTTCCAGGCAGTAGAAGAGATGTCATAAACAGTGCACGATTCATTGCCAAAAAGATTGTTGCTGACAATAACTGCAGCTGATTTCAGAGAAGAAAAAAGTCATTTCAAGTCAGAAAGGTCTAGGGAGTTTACAGAGACAGCAGGATCCCAGCTCAATTGTGAAAGATGCACAGCAACCTGAGAGTGGTCAAAGGAAGCACAGACAGCTTCTTAAAAATGCTGGTTTAAAACAAAAACAGTGGTTTATGTCTGTAATCCCAGCAACTCAGGAGGCGGATATTGAGAGGATGGTGGCTTAAGGCCGGCCCAGACCAAAAACGCTAGGGAGATCCTATCTTAACAAGTCAGAATATCTGTAATACTGGCTACACAGGAGGTAGGTAGGTCTGAGGACAGCCGGGGCAAAAATGCAAGGCTCTATCTGAAAAACGAACTAAAAGCAAAAGAACTGGGGGCATGGCTCAAGTGGTGGTCAGGGGCTGCGGTACAAGCCTGCCAAGTTAGAGAGGAACACAAGACACTCAAAGAGAATGGCAGCTGAAAGGTAGGAACACCCAAGTGGCCATGGGATAAAAATGAACAAATGTGTTCTATACATAAGTGGGATATTCTTCAGCATTCAGAAGGAAGGACATTCTGACACAGTCTGCAACACAGATGACCCCTGAAGACATTATGTTAAGTGAAATAGCCAGACACGAGAAAATCCTGCATAATTCCACCTGTATGAAATATCTATAACAGTCAAATTCTTACAGAAAGTGGAGCAGTGGTTGTCAGGAACGAGAGAGGGGCTAGAGGGTGTTATTATTTAAAGGGTATGAAGTTTCAGTTTTCCATTTGTGGCAATGGATGGTGGTGATGGGTGCACAACAGGAATGAGGCTATCACTAGACGAAGGATGGTTGAGATGGCAACAGCTGTTGCTCATTATTTCACTGAACATTTTACAAAGAATGACACCATGTAAGCGAAGGTATGACCTGACAAGAGAAAGTACAGAGCTTAGAGGCACAGATTTGGCAGTAGGTGACCAAAAATAAGGGCGCCATCTTTCTTTCAGGCTCCAGGCCTGAGACACCCCTAGGCCACAAAGGAATTCTGAGCTTCTGAGCAGATGCTACACTTTCATCAGGATAGAACTTCGGTTTTTTTTTTTTTTGAGGAACTTATTTTAATGCAATAAAAGAACTTTAGAATCTTTTTAAAGCCTTTGGCTTTGGTAAGAACCAGGCTTCCTGCAGACAATCACTTCCAGCTTCCCTTCCCCCCACCTCCACCTTTCCCCAGTGGCCTTGCTCAGAAGGATGTTGATACAAAAGTAGACAAAACAGAGTGCAGGTCACATCTGCATGGCTCAGGTATCTGGAGAACATTATTTAGTTTAATAAAGAGAACTGCAAAGCTGAGCTGCTTCTGACATTTTGAGATCAGTGTTCTCCATCTATTCTAACCCTGAACTAGGAACCGTCAGAGAACCAACATGATAGGCATCCAGTGACTATTTGGAGATTCATATACTCTTAGCAATGAAATGGCTTTAGACTTCTCCAAGAGTTCTCAGTTAGCTCTAGGTCTTTCTATAATGCTGGGGCAGCTCTCATCTGGACTGTGTTATGTCCTGTCCTCTAAATGTGACCCTAACCCCCAAAGTCCTGGGCAGTGATAACTTTGCCTGCACCTCCATAGCTGACCTGTAGTTCAGCATGGTTTCCAGATAAGAAACACCATCCTTGAAATTTGGTCCATCCACTGAGCTTGAAGCAGCCTTCCTGGGTGACTTAATAGAAACTATTATTTTTAGAGAGTGAACTTATTTTTAAGTGAACTCTTGATATTAAAACATCACCAGCAAGAAAATTGCAACTCTGCATTCCTCAGGTCCTTCTACAATGATCTAAGAATTTTTAATCCTTAGATAGATATGGATATTGGGAAATTAAAAATACTTCAGACCACTGAGCATGAGCCTTGATTTTCATTCATGATCTTTTCTGTTTTAATGCTTGTCCTCTTATTCTGCTATTATTTTTAATTAGGAAAAGATGGATAATAGATCACTTTCATTGCTGAGTCTTGTTGGGCTTTGAAAGTCTTTAAGAACAGACTTAAAAAAAAAAAGGAAGAAAAGCATAAAATGTGTCAGGGAAACAGAGTTCCTATCATTTCACTCTCCAATTTTGCCTTTTAAATGTAGTTCTTCTGCCAATGGTTCAGTGAAAGATGGTTTCCTTATTGTCATTTATTAGCCATGACAGGCAGCAACACTTCCCTCAGATACAGTCTCCCTTCACCACAATTACCTAGTAATGCCTGTGAGGCAAAAGACTGCTCAAAACTTCTTCCTTCTGGAATGTTTTTCCCAAAGGCAACAGTTCAAAGCAAACCTCTATTAACTGGAACCCTGACATCTGCAGAATTCTCAGGACAGGACAATTCTACACTTCTGGAGTGATACCAGAAACCAAGACAAAATTACACACAGTCCAGTGACCAGGAATACCAGCTCAGCAATACAGTTCAGAGGTGGAACCCCTGGATGCCCACACGATAGCACTGACACCTCATAACCAACCCAGCCACAGACTGTCACTACACGTGCATCCCTCTTTGTAAGGACCCTTCCTCAAAGAAGAAATGCTTTTCACTAAAATTCAATGTAACAAACTGAGACCAAATAAATAAGATAATATCAAAATTAAACAAATGACACGCATCAGTGGCTTATTAGCCATGGACATATTTACAAATGTGACATAAAAACTGCACACTCCTGGCTAACAGGACTCATAACTTGTAACTTGGAGCAACATAAAAAATAGAACACAGCTTCTATCTTCAAGCCTTTTTACTGGTTTTGTTCTTCCACATCCTTTTTGTTTTATGTGTTTTGAAGGTAAGGGATTTGGAGAGAGATAAATTGAAGAGGAAAAGGGAGACTCAGAAAGAAAGGTAGAGGATGTGGGAGGACAGGCTTGAGGACTGAAGCATGCTGGGAAGGAGGGGCTGTGACGTATCAGATGGTCACACCTGACAGCGAGCAGGGAACCCTGGAAAGAGAGTGTGAGAGCGTCTTCCTAACACCCCAAATCTGGTTCATAAGAAGCATGACCAACCAGCCAACCCCGGGAAAGCACACAGCGTTAATACCTCAGACTGTTCTGAGCAGTAAACCCACATAATGTGCCTCTCAGACAACACAGAAACAACAGAGTGAAGCATATAATTATAATAATATAAAAATGAGCATACTTTGGTGTAGATTTTAATAAGATTTTAATAATAATATTGGTAAGGAGCCAAATGACAAAATATCCTGGAATACAGAATACAAAACCTCAGAGACAAAATAAAAACTCATGAAAATATAAGAGCACACTAAAAAAGGTAATAATCTTAAGGATAAAGAAACTATTCTCAATAAAGGTACTGAGCATGTTTAATAAAAATGAAATGAGATTAAAGATAAGGCACACAGCTGTGCATTCCTCTCCCGGTGATTAGGAAGGTGATGTTTGTGTGGCTGGAGGCATTGGCACCAGGAGCACAAATGAGCTGGATCACCAATATATCCAGGTGGGCGGAATTTCTTACAATTCACTTACAGGACAGGAATTAATTTACTCTCTGACTGTAGAACGCCCTTGGAAATGAACCCTGTTGGGAAGTGGAGCAGAGGCAACATTTCCACACAGAAGTGGGAGTGTGTGGGGGGGAAGTCCACGTCTTCCATCTGCACAATCCCAGCTGCCACCCCAACAGGACATGGTCTGAGGGACTGACAAGTTTCCTCCTATGGGAACAACTCGTTATTCAGATAAACTAAATCTAACAGCTCTATGAGACCAACAAACCAGAGATAAGTCAAAACCACAGGGATCCCCACGCCCCAGAGGGATAATATGTCACTACCTGTGTGTGGCAGGAGAGCAAGAACACAGAAGATATTTGTGGTTCAGTGGCACTGACCAGGTGCCAGGACAGATGTGCAGTCCCATAGAGGTCTTCTGAGTGGGTGGGCAGGTATTTCCCTTAACTCTGCAGCAAACACGTTAATGTTACTGTCATTTGGTCGGATTTTATTTTTTCCAAGGGCACTACATGTTATGCTTCATTTGAGCCAGATGTTCACATCAGTGTGTCTGCTCAGCCCTGCTAAGAACACGACAATTATTTATGTGTCCTTCCAGCACTTGGAGTGGTGAGGAGTGTCTGCTGAAATCCAGTGGATGTCAGAGAGCTGATGTTCTGCAGAGCCACCAGCCCCAGCCAAACAGACCACAAAGGAGAGACACCTCGCTCCAGCCCTGTGGGGCAGGCTGCTACAGGTTCCCTCATTTTCAACCCTAAATCACTAGTCTAAACAGATGCAGATTCCATGTGATAGAGGGCCAGGCAGGAAGAGTTGAGGCTTTATATTCTTTAAAGGTCTATTTGTGCTGCGCTGGCTATTAAAAAGTTATGTGCAACTTCAAGATGAAAGGCACTAGCAGTCTCTTAGAGGAGAGTCCCAGTCTTCTGGAGATTTAATGAGATGGAACTCACTGAGGCTTCTGACTCGGTCGGCTGTTAATTGAATCAAAATCAATGACAATCTGGCTGCACTTCGGTGTAAATTTCCTAAACGTGAAAAACAAAACAGATAAAGATATTATGCAATGAGCAGTTAAAGCAATTTGTTTACCTTGGCTAAAACGATGTTTTCTCTGCAGAGAAAAAAAATGTCCTGGGATTCACTTGGTATTTTATCTTTATAGGAGCCAATTACAGTGCACCATACTGGGAGAAACATGGAAAGACTAGTCTTAGGAAAGACTAAGACAAAAAAGATGCATGGGAGTGGGTTTAGTTTGTATGTTCTTCAGCTATCTGAGTTCATGAATTGCCTGGAAGCCAAAGGCTTTCTAGCAAGTTAGCGGCACCATGATATCCGATTACTTGTTTTCCCACCAGATTTATCTTTTTCTAGGAGTTTCTGCAGCCAACTTAGAGTTGCTCTAAAGCAAAAGACTAATTTTCTTTTGCTTCTTATACATAGCAAAAAACAACTAGCTTTTTTAAAAAATTATGTTTTAAAAATGCAAATGTAAAATAAATCTTCTGTATTTTTATACTCATTTTTTACCCATTAGTTCTATAACAATTATGAAGAAGATATCTGAAGGCTAAATTACTCAATAAAAGGGTATATACATAATTGGAATGTACAAGCTCATGAGGCATAGTAATTTAGTTCAAGAGATTCATCACATAAAACCCAGATCCCTAGTAATGAACACAAGGGCAGGACGAGTTACCTGTGGAATAAGTCCTACCACTGTGATCAGATTCCAGAAAGCTTCGGAAAGGGCTCCAGTTTCAAAAGAGCTTTTCTGCCATTTATCAAAGGTGGCTGAACTTCCTTGCAAGTAAAACTTACCACACAATCTTTGCTCAGCAAAGTTAACTACAAAAAATCCAAAATACTTCTAATCTCAATTAAAAATGCTGCTCTAAATAGAACTCCTAATGTTTCAACCTGGCAGGTTGCTTTTATCCTAAATTGTCTGTGCCAAAGTTGTTACATTTGAAAAACATGAAAAGGTTTGGCATCACTATTATAAAACTTGTGGATTTTTAAATTTCTCACTACCTGAATAAATAGTGTAAGCCCTAGAAAGTTACTAATACTAAATTGCAAGCCTTAAACAGATTATCTTCAGATACTTCTGTCACACTCTTAAAAATCTACTCCTAAAATAATCTTTAGTCTTCTGCACCATATTTCTAAACACACTTCCAAGGCATAACCAAGAGAAACTGGATGTGACATGAGACAAGGTCAGATGTGTTCCTACATCAGCCCTTCATAGCACAGGCTTCCCCCAGGTTCTCCGGACTTACCTGAATGTAACCCCAGCCATTTCAAACATGAGCCTCGCCGCTCTTGTCTCATCACTGTCATGGTATTTATCAGACATGAAAATAACTTCTTTTATACCTTAAAAGGTAACAAGGGAAGCCCATCAGTGCATGCATATACAGAACCACAGATGCTGCAAAAGACAGACAGTAGCAGATAGAGCCTCATAGGTCTATGATTAATTACCCTTCCCCACTGTGCTTGCTTGCAGATGATGTCCAGTTGCTGAAATATATATCTACTGCTTTCTAATACAGCAGAGGGCAGATTACATATAATCCAGTCTTTATGGATTTTGTTTTAACAAACGCAAAGTGAAAACATGTCAAGGAGCCAAGCCTGATTCAATTAACAAATTTTCCTTACCTCAGGAAAGTAAATATTCTTTATTCACAAGGCAACTACTTTGAGAACTCAAGAGGCTAATGGAGGCAGTGGAGGATGCTGGCCATTTCAGATTAGTACCACTGGGCTTCCAAGAATGGCTCTTAGACCTGCTTCTTCTTCCTGATCTCACTAGGCAACACTAACCTGAGAGCTAGAAATCCCCAGGGTCCTGCAAAGGCTGCTCCTCCTCCAGCTTCAGAAGGGACGAGGAAGCTAACTGCATAGTGCCACACTGCCAAGTGGCATGCCTGCTGCCAAGGAAATATCCTAAAGGGTGGAGTAGCAGCAAAAGCACCGGGGCCACAATGTCCCTTTAAGGAGGCTCTGATGCGATTATCAGCAGACGTCTTCTGAGATCCACGGAGCTGGTGATAAACAGCTCCCTTAACCCACACATCTGGCTAAACATGCTAAGCCTTTAAATCTCAAGCTGAGAGCTTTATAGAGATAAAGTGTAGCTGGATCTCAGATGTGACAGTTTGAAAAAGGTGAAATATACAGAAAACAGGGTGGTAGATTTATGGTAACTGTAATATAAGAAAAACTTAGAGCAGAACTATTTGAGTCTAGTGATATTTAGATGTAAAGATATGCTTAGATCCTTGAATGTCTACCGTGCATTAGATACAAATGAAAATGTGATCTATAGACTCCCAGCTGACCTTGTTTCTGACAGAAGTTCATTTCCCTTCCTCCTCCCTAATCTATGCATAATAAGTCAGAGAATGGTAAATTGACAGTAATTATATGCAATGCCTGTGTTGTTTTTTGGCAGCTTGCAGTTTAAGAAGTTGCAAACTAAATTAGAAACATGCTAAGAATCACAGAAGATGCAATTAGTCTTAGAATACCTGGCACCATTCAGAAACAAAACACAGGAAATACCTTGCAAAGTTGATAATGCAATTAATTTAGATGTAAACAATAACGATTTGAGATCAGACCCATCCGCAGCATGGTGCTTAGGAGGAGAAGGAAGAAGAGGAGGAAGAGGAGGAGAAGGAGGAGGAGGAGGAGGAGGAGGAGGAGGAGGAGGAGGAGGAGGAGGAGGAGGAGGAGGAAGAGGAGGAGGAGGAGGAGAAGGAGAAGGAAAAGGAGGAGGAGGACGACGAGGATAAGGAGGACGAGGAGGACGAGGAGGACGAGCAGGATGAGGAGGACAAGGAGGATGAGGAGGACAGAGGGAAGGGCTGGCCCCCACCTGCCTGGATGATGAGCTTAGCACACTCATTACAGGGGAACAAGGCGACGTACATACTGCAGCCCTTCACGCCAGCCGCGTTCTTGTTCATGATGGCATTCAGCTCGGCATGGCACACTGGTTGGAAAGAGGAGAAAGCCTGAGACTGCAGCACATGGAGACCTCACTGAGTGCCTGCATTCCATCCCCACCCCTCTGAAACAACACACAATGCACTCAGTAAAAATAAACTGGAAACAGCAAGTACTGAGACCACTAATGAGGGCCACGTGGCCTGACTGGTCGACAATTAGCAGGGAATCTGTTCACTAAGGCACCCCTCAATCCGTAAGCACCCAGAGCAGCCCAGGGGGCTGAGGTCAAGTACCTTCACCCACCCTAAGCGGAGCAATTGCTCATGCCCCACAAGACCCTGGGGTATTGAACTGCCCACATAAAATGGCTCATTTGTGTGTTGATATGCACGCACAGGGATATTCAGTATGGCTGTTAAGAGGGCAGGGAGCAATAAGAGCAAGAGAATAAAGGCGGAAACCTGCGCATTTCAATCCTGAGGGATCTCTTCACCTCATCTTCCTCAACCCCAGACACAGAAGTGCCTGCAGATCACTAGCAGTTTGTCATATATAAGAAAAACATTCATCCACTGAATGGCAACACACATTGAAGTTCTTGATGCACTGATCCATTCTAGTAATGATCCCAAAATGAAGACCCAGATCATCCCCAAGCTCCTGAGTTCAAGGTCAAAGAGGATACCTTCCTGTTCCTCCCACACCTGTCAAAGCTTTCCCTAGCACCTAGCCAGAGGGTCATTCCCCCTTAGGAGGGGACGAAGAATACTCCAGCACAGACCTAGTTCTAAATCCCTCGGCTTCAGAATACAAGATGTGGCTATCTTGTATCCTTACGGAATTTTCTAGGTGTGTTACCTAAAAGTAATACCTTATGGCACTGACTTGTAAACTTCTTCCAAGAGGAGCTTCCAAAATTGTCCATATCTGTGCTCCATACAGTGTGATGTGATGGTCTGTGTCCGGGAATTTTTAAGAGACAGACTCTCAGTCAGGAGCCGGTGGCTCACACCTATAATCCTAGCTACTTGGGAGCAGAGATCAGGAGGACCAAGGTTTGAGACTGGCCTGGACAAATAGTTTGTGAGATTCCCCCTCCCATCTCCAAAATAACCAGAGCAAAATGGGCCAGAGTGTGGCTCAAGAGATAAAGTACCTGCTTTGCAAGCACTAAGCCCTGAATTCAAACAACAGTCCCACCAGAGAGAGAGAGAGAGAGAGAGAGAGAGAGAGAGAGAGAGAGAGAGAGACTGAGACTCTCCAGGTAACTTAAATGTGCTGACAAATTTAGGAGGCACTGCCTTATGGGATTCCCTCCTATCCTCAACACATACCATGCATGCAAGTGCTAAAGTAAGTGTTGGTTGAATGGATTAATGAGTGACTATCTAGCTGTGGTACAAATTACACAAAACTCTAGAATATAAATATGGGGACCCTCAAGGATGTCCCCTACCCTCTTCAATTACCAACCTTCTACACTTAACAACTTTGTTGGAGCTTTGCAGCCATAACTGAATAGTAGTCTGAACTCATGGCCCCATACACTTTGGTCACAACTTGTAAACTCAGTCAATGCACACTTAGTGAGAATTTCTTCTGGTCAGACAGATGAAGGCCTTGGCCCACCTTCCTCCCCCAGCCTCCCATTTTCAGGTGAAACTGCAACAACCCCTTGTGCATGTGTGCTGCAGCAGCTTGGCAGTGTTGCAGCAGAGCTGACCGAGAGCTCGCAGGAAATGGTGTGTACTTACATCCTCATTTTAGATTCAGGATACCAGGTTTCAGGAGGTCTCAGCCATGTGTGAAAACAAATAGTCTCTAGTATTGCAGGGAAAGCTAACGAAACAAGCTTCACTTCATGAGATCACAGCCCCGCTGAGGCTAATCTTCACTGGCCACAGAGACCTAAGCCCCATCCCCTAAGACTTGTTGGCCTAATAAACCACAAGGCCATGGGAGGACAAGGAAAGGGAAGTGCTCAGGAAGGACAGTGTGACCATGTGGGCACTGGCCTTTGAGAGGCTTTCTTGTCTCCTTCTTCCCTGGTGACCAAGATGTTCTACTCTGGCATTAACATGGCTCAGTGTTAAAAACAATTAGATGTAATTGTTTCTTTTATTTTCCCCTTGAGGGCAGAGCCCAGCTTTCTAGGTTCTTTGTAACTTCCCCAGAGTCCAGTGGGATGCCAGGAACATAATGGGTGTTAAATATTTATTGAATGAATAAAGGAGGAAATGCAGATTCCAATTATTGATGGTAACATTGGGAAGTATCAAAAGTCCTCTTAAATTCAAATATCAAAAATAAACTTTCCCATCTAATAAATATTTTTCAATGGTGCTGGTATTAAGATACAGGACTAGAGTCTCTGAATCTGTTACAAAACACTATTATAATGCCCTCCTTTATAAGAATTTTCACACTGATTGCAACTACCTTTGTCTAATTCATCCCAGGCAGTTTGGGGCAAAATTTAACATTATAGGTCTGGATTCATGAGTGAACACTACCACGTGAAACGGACAGCATCTTCTGTGCTTGTATAAAGGGTGGCTCACCGAAGTAAGACACAGGGTTATAAACAGACTGCCTTTCTCTTAACTGAAAAAAAAGGGAGGGAGGGAGAGAGGCAGGGAGGAAAGAAGGAATGAAGATTCTAAGATGAAAACACAGTGCTCCTGTTAAGAAAAAATGGGGCTACGTGAACAAGTGTCAGGTACACAGAAACTCTTTACAAGGCAGAGCTCAAAACTCACAATGCCACACATTCACAACTGCACAATGACAAAAAATGAAACACAAGTGCTCAGGCGAGAGCATAGGATGGATGCAACCCTGATTTCTCCTGCCCAGTCCTGTATCTCTGCAACTCAAGACACAGGCAACACCGCTTCCTTCCCCAGAGTCCTTTAGCCCACCAAGGTCTATCCGATTAATACTAGCTTCCTGGCTGCACCTAAAAGGTACAGGGGGGAACTCCCAACCAGAACCTACCCAACTCACTCCCACTTCCAGAATGCCCATTTGTTGCTGACTATAGGTTGGTTAGATTGGAGCGGTGGGAGCTCATTTCCCTGAACTAGCCTTCTACACTGTTAACTGCCAAATCTGCTCCAGGCTGCAAAGAGCACTCAGAATCCATGTGCCTGGCCTATGCCAAGCTGGCTCTAGTGAGCCAGACCAAGGCCAAGCACATCCCCACTTTATACTCTGCCCCCAGGCAGGAAGGATGCAGAAACAGCTGTCAACACGGCTCATTCAGCACCAGTGCTCAAGGCCCAATTTGCCACTGAGAAGCCCTATGACCTTCAACAGGGTGGCATGATTCACAATGGCTGAGAAAGTACATTTCCAACTAATGAGATAAAAGTAATTCTTAAAATACCAAGTAGCATCGATTTCTGGCTTTTTCCTAATGCTCCCACTGCCATTCTTCAGTCCTCCATAACAGCTGGTCATCTTCAAGACAAGCTGCACTGACAAAACGTAGGTTTCCTCTCCTGCTGCCAGTCACAAGCCCAGCTCACTGCTACCAACTCTGAGAGCACAGGCTCCCCTCTACGTCATCTCCGTCACCTTTAAACATGTCCACTTAGTCCTCATCCTGCATAGAAACCAACATTTCTACAACTACTAATTTTTAAAAATAGTTGTCTTTTGGCTTTGCAATTCAGATATAACCTCTAGTGTTCTTTAAAACAATGTTTTTTTTTTTAAACTGTAAGTCATAAAAATTTGTTTAGAAAGTTATAATCTACGTCTGTCTCTCTGAACCTCTCTCTCTTTGCAATGCCTAGGGTCGAACCCATGGCCTCACACATGCTAGGCACTATCTCACACATGTTCTACCACTGAGCTACATCCCAGCTTTTTTTTAATGAGGTGGGTAGGGAGGGAGGGAAGAACAGGGGGAGGGAAGGAGGGAGGGAAAAACTGCAGCATTTACCCATTTCTATGGTGTAAAGACTTCCTAATGTACCATGGGGTTGAGAAGTGCACAGTGGGCTCTGGTGAGCTGGTAGGTCACCTACCCCATACCACTAAATGCTCAGTGACATTGTTACCAAAATCAAAGTCCCTTTTTGGTCAGCACTGCCTGATTCACCTGCTCTCCTGGTCTTTGATTAGTGGACTACTCTGTTCTTAAAAACCTCTCAGGACTATTATACCCTTTGTCTCCTACTTTTCTATGGGCCCTTTTCTTCCTCTTGTCTTTCTGAACAATTCCCAAGGTTTAATTCTAGTCTTCGATTTTTCTCCTATACTCATAGATTCTCTGAGACCAGATCTATTTGTAAAACCTTGAAATTGACATTTCTAACCCCAATTTTCCATTTTCTCCTCAAGCCTTTTTTTGGAAGGGTAGTCTGGGACTTTTCTTTACCTTTTCTCACCACAGATATGTGACAGCAATAAACTGAAGAATAAATTCATCTTTCTCTAGTGCTAACATTTCCATTGTTTTGCCTAAAAACTGCAGCAAGAGTCAGAAAATACCTGTGTGGAAAACCCACACAGGTATTTTTCATATTCACAGTTAGGAATAGGACAAACTATTCAAGTGTCCAAAAAGAATTCAGAAGACAGCTTAAAATTGTCAAGAAAAAGATGAATTTTTCCAACTTGTGACCTAGACTTACACACCTATAGCTAAGCAATAAGCCAAAGAAATCTCCAAATAATACATGTATATTTGATAAGCACAAAAAGTGACACAAAACCCTTTAATTATTCCCAACATTGTTTAAAAGGAAAAGACTCAAATGCTGAAAATTCCAGATTAATGCTTATAAAGTTCTTGATTGCCAGAACTGTTTCAGGTAATTATAAGACAATTCATATGCTCTGGTCTTTTCTTTTCTTTCTTTCTTTATTTCTATTACTAACTGTCAGAATTCAGAACTGCATTAACCTTGGACCACTGAGAAGAGACTGTATAATTAGAAAACTGTATTTTTCAAATTCTCTCTCACTGGACTTGATTAATCCTCACTGTCTCATGTAGGCGGTTCTCTAGAAGTTTGACAAATTAACAGGATA